GCTGTGTATAGCTGTGGTATACGTATATACTTATATGGCCGGCGCTCGTATCATTGGTCCCTGCAACTTTGACGCCTCTCTCTTTTTCTCGCGATTTCTTGCTGTGGGTTACTTTTTTTTTTTTTTTTTTTCGCTCATTTTCTCGTGCTTGTTTTACTCACCGTGCCCGATCTCATCAGCTCGTATTGATTATTTTACCAGGCCCAGCTTGGCGGATGTTGGGCTTGATGACGTCATGGATTTAAAAAAAAAATGGAAATTTAACATACAAACAGTCGTAAAATGTTTTATGAAAATTAGAGGAAAACTTTCGGGCGATGACGCTATGGTTTGGATAAAACTTTGAGAATCGTTGTTTTTGCAAAATTGTGAAAGTGTTGGTGTGAGACTGACACGTTTCGATGTTGGTAATTGATTTTCATTTTTTCTTTCTTACGAGAGAAGATGTGATCGCAAAGCATATTATTTTTCACTGTCTTGTATGCAAAATCCTTATTTGAAAATAATAACAATAAGTGAACTTATTTCAAATATGTTTTATTAAACTATACTTAAACTTTCCATACAACAGAAATTCATAAAAAAAGGAAATTCGAACTTCATACCATGATATCTTCAATAGTTATGGGTAGACAAGTATTTATTTTCAAGTTACTTTTGAGTCCATAACCAGGAGGGTAGGCACTCTTCTTGTCAACTCGATTTTCATGCGAAATCTCAGGTGGATAAATATTTTCTCATCTTTAAATTAGAAAGTACATAATGACCCCAAAACGTCTCTATGGTAAAACTACCATGCGTGTAAGTAAAGTATCCCACAAAATTTTCTTCTGCACTAATTTCAGAATAAATCTTTCAGACTGAACAAACGAGAGTCGACAATATTTCAAGATCTTTGTTAAATATGTTTGTATCAATTTTTCTGTAACAATTCAGTTTTACCATCTTTATTTGACTAATGCTGGGACCCTATAGTTGTTAAATCTGTCTGTTAGTTTTATCACATTTATCACACACGGTAAGACTCTCATTGTAATGCATGTGAACAATATCGCTAGAAAAATACAACTGACCTCAGCTCGTGTACAATGAATCTCCTTAAATTCTCAAAAAAGTCACAACACGCGATGTACTTACAATTTCACGTAATACACTACGAATGAACTTACTCGTAACACACATCGGTACAAACGAGGGCCAACAGAGCCAACATAATATATATGATTGTCACGCGTTGCGCTTTTAATGTTTGGCCTACTTTAGCTGCTGTTGAAGATCATTGCCCACAAATCGTGGGACAACCGCACACAGTTAATTAAGAAAATAAAAATAAAGAATATACTTAAGCTAGAGGAGGAGGAGAGCGCACAAACAACTTGAGCATTTGCTGCGCAGACGCATGACCTTTAATTTATCGTCGACATATATGCGGCGATCGTGGTTTTTACCTTTGCCCTGTCCTGCAATCGGGTACTACACATTATTAATAGTGACTCGTGCGGTGAAGCGATTCGAAAGGACTTGCTAAATGTACAGTGACAGATACGTGTGTCAATTTGCCGTTGGAGAAATCCGTGGCTGTTTAATGGGTCGGGAATTATTTATTGGTCGCTTATGGCTAAACTAGAGAGCTTTTGCATCGAGTCCCTCTCGTGTGTGTTACGTTGATTACTTCGATGGGAGTGATTTTTCTCATGCCTAGAAGTGATGGTAGATGCGAGGTGACAATTTTTCTAGTGCCTATATAGATTATGATTGTTGTAGCTAAAATTTTCGTGAATGGTTGTTCACTTATGTATACTAAAACAGTATACCAGCCATGTTAGATTAGCTTCACTGATTTTCTTTTGCTACTTTCAAATATTCAATATTTTTTTGACTATCATTTTAGATTAATTGCTTTTGTGATAAAAAAATTTATTTCAGCCATAATTAAAATGTGAGATTATTTAATTTAAATCATTTCTCTAATTTCATGTAATGTGGAACATTATTTGATGCACTGTCAATAATATTTTTGTTTTTTTGTTCTTTTTATCATCAGTCATATGTGAGTACGTATTTTGTCATCAAAAACTTGAAAAAGAAATTTATAGTTTGGCTCGTCGGAAGGCCTTCATCGTTTAATTTATTCGTGCTAATTCTTATCAACAACACGTTCCAACGAGCAATTCGTAGAATAACAATAAACACGAAGAACTTTGACATTTTACAATCTTTTTTGAGAAAAAAAAAAACAGCTGCTAATTTACTGTAATACTCATCTCTGAAAATTCTTACTTAAAAATGCTTTTGACCTTTTTTTTCCACTATAAGCAAAATTTCTTGCATTAAAATAGATTTTAAGTTTACAAGTATTTTTTTCTTCTTCTTTCTTAAACTACTTTCTGCAATCGCGTACCAAAGTTCATCAGCCTTGAAGTCTCCGAAATAGCTTCTTCGCTTTGCTGCAAAAACATCGTAATTCCCCTGTAAACAACATAAACTTGCAAATATTTACATCTCGATTGAATACCAACTCTCTGTCTTCGAATGTATTTGTCTGTATTTAGCATGTACGACGAAAGAGAAAGAGAGGAGGGGCAAGGGGATGTTTCGAAACTACCAGTGCCAGACTTGTTTTGCAAAGTAATCAATGAATGAACAACGTGTGTGATAAAATGAACGAAAGCGATTCTTTGGTCCCACTGCATGTGGTGATATAAACAGCTGATTTAGAGTTCGTTGCTCCTGCGAGAGCTAAAATTAACTTGTTTTTTTTTTTTTTTTTTTTTTTTTTTTTTTTTTTTTTTTTTTTTTTAGTTTCAATATAAAATTATACGGCCCATAAACTTTCTAAATAAATAATACAAACAACTGCGTTTTAAGGTGATATTGATTTAATTACTTTGCAGGGAGTCCAGTATTTTTCAAAGTTTTCTGTTCTGTTCTGTTCTTTATGGATGGCCTTGGTTCTCTCTCTCTCTAAGACGCCGATATGGCATTTTCAAAGTTTTCGATGAAAGTTGTATATACAGACAAACAAACAGTCAACTTGATTCCTCTTTCATTAAAGTGCCGAAAAGTATCGTGCCAACTAAAGCATGATAAACATATTGATTTTTAGCACTTTTTTTCGCTTTTTCATGTAAATAAACTTTGAGGGATGCTGATTATCGTGATTGTACTTGAAACAAAAAACAAAACAACTAAAGAGCGTCATGAATGCAAACCGTAAAACTCAACAAAAAAAAAATTTGACGAGGCCTAAGCCAGATTCTCAAAATCCCTTCGCTCCTTCAAAGCTCAAGCTGAAAACACGTGTAAGACACGCGTGAATTTTGTCTCGAGAAGGAATAAAAAGGCGCGCAAAGGACGGAAAAGAAAAAGCATGCGAGTATTGGCGCGTGCGAGCAAAATTCCACCAGCACATCCACCGCTCCTGATTTCAGCCTCTGCAAGTTTGTTTTACTTACTCTGCGCTGCAGATGGTTAACGCGTGTGTGGATGCACATGCACGCGCAGGAGAGGATGCATGAAATAAGAGAAAACGAGGAAAGACAGGCGGTGAAGACGTAGCGAGAAAAGGAAGATGAAAATGTGCGCGTGCAGCGAGAGAGAGTGGAGAAAAAAATTCTAGCACGCCTTGACGTCGAGCCGTTCAATATTAGTGCCTGACGTCATTGCTTAACTAGAGATCTGAGTTTGTATGCTCCGTCTTAGGAGGTTTTGGACACTAAAATTGTGGTTTTTTGCCTTTAAGTGTTTGTGAAAAAATTTTTTTTTCTGTTTCTTATTGAATCCATCGAAATATTGGAAAAAATCTATAAATTATTCATTCGGTGTAGCGTATACAGCAAACTTGAAATGTATATTGGAATTGTAAATTCTACGTTACATGATTCTAGAATTCGACTGACGCTGGAACGGTGGAGTTGAAAAAAAGGCACTTAACAAGACGAGTTGGGTGCTCCAAGAATCATTAAAAGTAATCGTAAACCTTTGCTCATAGTAATTTACAGTGGGACGACTTATTGCTTTACGGTAAATCATAGAAGTAGGTTCCTCTTTGATAAGGTGATGGCCAGTCATAGGTTGTGTATTGTTAGACTTTTTGTGCTTGATGGTTATGAAATGAGCACCAATTGCAACGAATAATATTTTTAGGCTGCTGGTTAATAGTTATGTCCATAGTATTGTTGCTACGATGAAAAATACGGTTTAATTAATTAATACTCGATTATTCGTCACTTTAATCGAGAAACCTTGATGAAAAATCCGTATGCGAGACACATATTTTTCAAAAAATATTGTCGAATTCGGTCGAATTGATGGCTTGTTGAGTTATTGAAAGATTAAATATAATGGATATAAACAATTAATAGATATAAAATTAATATATTAATAAATTTAATATATAAAATTATTAATCATTAATAAATTAATTAATAGATATAAAATTAAATGAAATTAAAAAAAAAATATTTATACGTTTATCACCCATTAAACTTTTAACATTTTTTTTTGTTGCAGGTGAGCACAAAACTAAATTCACAAATCATTTCAAACTGAATATCAAATGCTAGGTATAGGTAAATTTAAAATCAAGGATAACAGTATGGGTGGCCATATGAGGAGTCCTCATCACCTAACGTAAGTATAGGATATTAGTTTGATCACGTACAATAGCCCCTGCATGGGAATCCTTAATTAATGTCATACGAGTAATTAATTATCGCGATGGTTAATAATAAAAAAGTGTTTATTTAAAAAATCGCATTGAAAGTAAAATTGTCATACGAACGACTTTTTAATTTCAACGTACAATTGTTACGTCTGCCAACCACGAGTACATCACGACTTCTTCGGCGATACATTGGCACCCCATGTATCCCGAAAAAACAGCGAACATTCGCAGACAATCACACTGATGGCGCGAACAATAACCGCGTTAGCCTGTATTGTATACACATGAAATGAACATAGAACAGAAAAGTGCTTGACGACGGCATTCATCCAAGAGAACCGTTGTATCTCAATAAAGACCAACAACACATGTAACAATAGGCATGTAAGCTTACCTACGGGAAAAAATGCGCTCTTGCGAAACGGAAAGAAGAGCTCCCCGATGCAACGAGACCGTAATAGCCGGACGGATGGATCGTTCCCGATGCCGGCAATCATATAGGTAATAGACCACGTCGCTCTCTCGGGTCTTACTCGCCGCCTGGTGTGTGCAAGTTTTCGCTTTAGATTGTTTCGCCGGCTATATCGGTACACACGACAAAAGAGAGGAGGAGAGAAAACTCGTGCACCGGAACCAAACGTCTTCCCGTCCCTCGTACACACACAATGCCCGCACAAAGTCGAGCCAATCTACCGGGTATACATCAGCATATACACACACGTAGTACGTGCATCCGACTCGGTCCAGCGGACATCTGGCCGTCGCACCCGCGTATTTATGTATATATACGTGTACATGTACCTACAGGCACGCGCGCTCGGGTGTACTGACCCTTCCCACCCAGATGGACATTGTTATAAGCCCTCCTCCCTCTCGCGATGGCAGCAAGTTTCCAAGCCGAACTCGGTCTGTGTCACTCGCGCCCACACACAGAGAAAGGGGGAGAGGACTTTGCTTCCGTTGCAACGTCAAGAGCACTCTCTCCTACGTGTGTTCCGTGCTTCTATACCCGTGGTGTTTCATGAATGGCTGGGTGTTGAAGTTACCAAGTGCCCCCAGGGACTGGGCCAACTGTGAGGTTATACCGGGGCAAGTTGGAGGAGTTGCCACTGTCGTTGGAAGGTAGGCCAATTAGGCGACGGGGAGCGCGTGCTTTCATTGGATCCGGAGGTGAGAGGGGAACGTCGGGTTTTGCTCGAGGAATCACTTCCAAATGAATTGGGGATCCAAGAGACAGAGGCCCGTGCGGTTGACACCGCTGTATTGGCCACGTACTGCGATGATTACATTTTACGTTAATTCGCTTGGAGTATAACGCAGTGGCCAACTAGGACAGTTACTACAGTGTACCGAAACAGATGTCACAAGTTAAAGTTTACGTAATGAAACTTTCCAAACCCAAAGGGTTTCTGGGTTTGACAATTGTCACGTGGATTGCTATGTTCTTATCATCGTAAAAGGAAAAAACAGAGAGACGAGTATTCCACGTGGTAATTATATATACGTGCGTAATTTGAAAAAGGGGATGATTTTCTGAAGAGCATGGGGGATCAAAAGAACCAACGAACCACAAAGAACGTGGGGGACGGAGAAAAGTGGGCACGCGCGTGTTCCTGCAAAAGGAAAAGTTCTTGAATGGGCGAGATTATCTTATAGAGGGGGGCACGAGAAGAAAAAAAAATCGGAGAAAGGCCAGCCGTTGTTGTGCCATTGTCGCATGCGTGTAAGCACGTGGGGAGCGGAGGCGTATGCGCGTACCTCCATTGAGGTGAACGGAGGGGATGATAATTGAATGAAGCTACGACTACGACGTGCTCTGTACAGATTTTCATGCGAGAATCTCCGCCCAAAGAGTTTGGGGTATGTTTACCTGTATCTAAAGCTATCGTGTTTGGTTTGTACATTTTTTAAACACCTATATTAAACAAATATCGATTCTCTCTGAATTTGAAGTGGAGGCAAATTTCAATGCTGACGTGTGAACCTGCACCTTCCGATGAATAACATCCAAATGCGGTAAGAAGAGTTTTCTATTTGCGCCAGGAAAAGCCCGCGTTTACATGAAACTCAAATTTTTTGTTAAGTATCTAAGTAAAAGGAAAATAAAATTGTCTTTCACGATTTTCATCTTGTTAAATATACTCGTCGTTCCAAATTGAGAAAAAAAAAAAAAAAAAAAAAAGAAAAGAAAGAAAAACTAAAATCGGCATGGTTGAACGACCGATTTTTCGACAGATCGGCATTATATCGGTAACCCAAACAACGCAATTATTAAACCAAGTACGCACATATAGTGTTATAATACACCCGCAGCGTCATCAAATTATAAAGTCTCGACTGCGCGTAATTTAAGAACCACTGCTCCCAGCTCACTCTCCCGTGCACTTCGCGTTAAAATTACATGAAACGCGCTCGAATGAGCTGTCGTCGGATGCTGTCTTCATTGCTGGGAAAAAGGGGCATAGCTGTGGGGCGTCTCTGTATTAGAGACAGCTTCATTTGAACTCGCCGTTATCCAGAGAGAGAGAGAGAGAGAGAGAGAGAGAGAGAGAGAGACTATGATTCCAGGGCTTTGCTTGTGGAAAAATATGCAGATTCGACCGTGCCTCGGTGTGAAAGCAACCTATATTCATGTACACATAGGGATATTATGGAGAAAACGCCGGTACTCGGAGAACCAAAGATTTGAGAAAAAAAGAAGAAAAAAAACACTCCTTTCGCATCTTTGGAGCCTGTGGTATCACGCACGTATTACGGATGCGAAACAAAACGATCGGTCGTTACATGCATGCAAATCAAAATCCTCCCGCGGCTCCCACAACCGCGAGCAAGACGAGATAATAAAAGCCCGCGCTTCCGAGCCAACCGATTTATTCCCCGCGCAGTTTATCGAACGACTTGCAGCTTCCTTGCACCGGAGCTCGGGTTCGCATTAATCTCTCTTGGGCGCTCCCGTACCCACCTCTTTATTATTATTATTTAGTTTTTTTTTTTTTTTTTTACCGATCTTCCGCCGATTTCCGTCTCTGCTGGGCATGTACGAACGCTCCGGCTCGAGTTTCTTCGCGTCTCGAGTTACGCTCCTGTCCCTCCAAGCTGCGCTTAGAATCGCACGGCTCCGCGCGCACAAGAGAGTACCTCCTCTGCTGCTCTTTCCTCCTCTCCAGGCGTCGGATTCTCGCCGACTCGATTGTCCGGCATCTTAAATTAGCAAGTACTGCTTAGATTGCCCCTCGTAAATAACGCGCGGGAACAGTGGTCGTATGGGACAGCTATATACTAACGCGATCGTCATATACGATTGTAAACTACCGTGGGTGTAATCACGCATACGAATGAGTTATGGGGAGTTCGTGCCCGCGTTTTGCGATTCATTCCCACGCATGGGTTTGTTCGGATTAGTGGAACGGAAAATTCGAGATTTTTTCTCAGCAGCATCACAAGTTGGGATCACATTCGAGGATACATCCAATATGCCTTAGAGCTGTAGGTGTCACGTAAAATTTTATTTCTCGGAATTTCGTACAAATTCCTGACATATTCGAATGAAGAATTAAAAAAGATATAGAGTAAGGGTTATGGAGAAAAAGTCTCGCAGTACTGAACGACGTAATTTCAAAATTCGCGGAGAGCAAGTGTATATCGCAATGTAAACCTCTTGCGATCACGTACATACGCACAAAGCTGACGTGCACCGAACGATATTCTAAATATATGCACGAGCGCGCCTTATTTTGTACCATATATATATATATAAATATATACCTACCTCACATTGTACGCGCGAATGCCTCTTTGAATGTGGATACACAAACGCGCTCGTGTAGGCATATAATTCACGAAAAACGAGTCGACCCCGTCCCGATGCATCAGACGATAGCCTTGAAGGGAGTACTTATGCGACAGACACATTCGTACAGCGCGTAATGGCACACGCAAATCAAATGCAGTCGGTCGGATGGTGTGTGTAAATACATAAGTATACGTAGTTGACCCTGACCTGGATTTCGAAGCTGATGCTGACCACGTTTTTTCCGGGATGTCGGACAAAAAGGAGGAGGAGAATCACGAAAAGAGCTTCAACTACCTATACATACAGTGGAACACCATCGCGAGAGTAAGTCACTTACTTTTCGGGGCAATGGCTGCTGCGGTCTTTGAGATTTTTTTTTTTTTTTTTTAGAATCGAGGATGGCTCTCAAGGAATGCGACGAGCAAACAAAGGGCTTGGCTTTTACGTGTACGCGTGTGTTCACAGCAGGGCGAGGGTGCGGGGATTATTTAGGCTTCCATTATTTGCGATGAATTTCAGATTCGGGGAGTGGTGTATATCATTTTTTATTTTTTTATTTTTTTTATTAAATCAAAACGTTTATTTTGTGAAATGTAAATAAAACGATTTCGCATCGTGGGGAGCGGCTCTAGGCTCTGGTGTCTGGTTAGTGTTTTGATGTTTGAGTGTCGCGATAAAAAAAGCTCGTGTGACGAATACATTCTGTCAAAGCATCTCTACTTTGCGTATTCATAAATAGCAAAAAAGACAGGAAAATTCCTCACTGGTTGACAATACTTTTAAAAACAGTAGTGGAATCGAGGGTTTATCTTCCATTGCAAGGTGTTCAGAAATAAAATCTGTTACGTCATTACTAGTACACAATAGCAGTCGTTATCATTATCGATCATTATTGTGTTTTTGTGCTCATTGATTACATTGTATTCAAGCGAACCATAATCTGATTTCGAACATAGACTCCAAACACGTGTCCCGCCAAAGTCTTGCAAAAGCGCTCATCTATATGGGCACTCCTGTTTTTTTTTTTACCACTCTCGCAAGCTCTAATCCGAGGGTTGCTTTCCAGGGTCCACAAAACGAGTCCACCCAACCTTGCCAGCACATATCCACACGTGTAGTCGAGGGCTCTCAAAGTACATAATCGTGTGTGTACGAGTTGCTCGGAAAACGGGAGGGACCACTAGCCTCCGGTCCAGGAATCCACATGGGGAGGTGCATCGATATACAAGCACATGCACATATACACACACGCGCTGGAGATACACCGCGGTCCCGCGATCGGGGACCCGCATCGTGCGACTGGCAATTTTTTGTTGCTGCTCCCGAGGCCGATCTCCAGTGGTCGGCTCTCCCTCCTCTCTCTCTCTCTCTCTCTCAACGTGTATGCACGTTCCTCCCCGAGTCGTGACCGGACTGCTCGAGCCCGAGAAAAAGAGGGCCCGGATAATGCATTCCTGCTGCTGCTGGGCTCCCTTCTTCCTCCGCGCGAGTTCCAGTTCCCATCTTGGGGTCTATACTCTTCTTCCTCCTCGGCTCTTTCTTCTCCG